GTCCTTAATGCTTACTTCAACTGCTCCTATACAACTATTGAATAATTGATGAAACATTTGTTAGTATGTTTTGTTCATAGATTTTGTCCTTAATGCTTACTTCAATCACTCCTATACAACTATTGAATAATCATAAAACGTTTGTTAGTATATTTTGTTCACAGATCTTGTCATTAATGCTTACTTCAACCACTCCTATGCAACTATTGAATAATTGATGAAACATTGCTGCATGTTATTGCCACACTAGCATAAAAGTTGGCACCTGCAACTGATTGAAAATTCTCCAACTTGGAAGTTGCAACCTGGGTTGCTATTTTGGTTTTTCCCTGAGTTCGGAGTTTGAGTCTTGGGTCACTGTCTTGTCAGTGACATGCCTACTCACCAACAACCATACCCCATTTATTTAAATAACAAGTTCAGTTGGTCAAATAAAAATTAAAGAGAAGCAGAAAATTTGGGAAAATGATTAATTTATAACATACCAAACAAAATCCAACCATTTTATTTTACAGCTTTCTCCTTGATGCCAGTGATCATGGTGACTATCACAATAGGAGTGGCAAAATCAAACTGCTACCTTTATACTTGTGAGATACATGCTCTCATTGAGCTATAATCCTTTAATCTAGGGTAGGAGGTTATATAGGAAAAAGTTCCCATTTAAAAAAACAACATATTCAGTTGGTCAACAAAAATTAAAGAGAAACAGAGAATTTATGAAAGTGATTACTATTTTACAACTTTCCTCTTAACATCAGAGCCCAATGCAATTTCAGGGCCACCAACCCTGCTCTGAATTGTGACTTCCTGTGCTTGAAACAAGTTGCAGATTCTCTTTGCTTTGATGGATCTGGATATTTACATGGCACTACAATTCATCAGCAGAGTTGCAGTTTGATCACAGAGCCATCTTTACCCTAGAGTAGGGATTGTTGCAGGCAACTTTTCGGCTAGCCTTCTCTGGTCTGGGAAGATTAGTGAAAGCATCATTGATGATTGATACAGTCTTGATAAACTCCAGATCCATGTGCCTTCTGGAATTCAATTGCATCATCATATCTTTGGGTTGCCAGGTCAAGATTGGCCTTTTGTACATGAGGAATATGTGAGAATGACTGTAATGTGTTCAAGGTAGCATGCATGCTTCAACACTTGTAAATTTCCGATAATCAAACATTGCATATTTGAATTGTTTCTTTTTCAACAGTCAATGCTGCCTTGACATCTTGTAATTAAATTATATTAATAATAGTATTATTATTACAATTACAAAAAGAAAAATACACAATCTTGATAAGAATCTTGTAATTACCCAGCAATGATCTGCTCTGTGTTTTGATTTCTAATTAAAATATTTATATAAAATAAAAGACACCACATTATATCAATACTATACATGAAGTCGAAACTATTTCAACCAGTTGCAGATCTGGTTGAATTAGGGTCAAAATAAGGTCGAAACTGATTTTTACTATCTAGTTGCCTCAAGTCAAAACATTTCGACTTTGGGGTTTTAATTTCGACTTCATGTATAATCAAAACAAATAAAAAAAAGTACCTCTGGTTAGTTATTAACACATATTCTTTAGGAGACCCAAACCAAACCAAACAACAACACTCACGTTTTGTCACCTTGGACACTGTCAAAAAATAAATTGCCTTTCCAAAAAAAAAAAAAAAAATCAATCAATTCGCGTCTGTCCTATATACCAAAAAAACCAATAGGATAAATAATTAATGTGTACGCATCGATCAAACCACAAACTTTTTTCTTTTTAAAAATGATGAAAAAAAAACAATTAAAAAAAAGAAATCGAGAAAAAGAGACCAAAGATACATATGGGTAAGTGTCTCCACTCATTAAAACGCAAAAGTCAAATTTTATATTTTATATTTTTATATAATGTCACATGCCAAATTATTATCATCACTATCATCAGAAAGAATGGAATTTGTATTTAAAATTAATGGTGAAATGCGTAATAATGCTGATGCTAATGAGAGAGAAATTAGAAAAGATTATTTTTTTTCATTAGTCAACAAAAACAAGAAGCTTTCTGAAAATGAAAAAGAATATTGTAAAGAAGATTTTATTTATTATTTTGAATTAAGTAATGCAAGAAATAAAAAGGGTAAGCCTAAAGAATGGAACAAGTGTAAATTGACAAGATAATCTGATAGGTTCTGTGAAGGTTGTATTAGTTTACAATTACAGAGACTTTTTACCACTTGGACATCTGGAAATAACATAATTGATGATTTTATTCAAAAATGTCAAATGAAATCATCTCTGCCAACTCATATTTTAGAATGGATACCTTTTGAGCAATTTGAAGATATTACAAAGTTAACTGAAGGTGGATTTAGTTCAATTTTTACTGCTACATGGATAAGAGGAAGAATAGCTGATTACAATGAAAATAAAAAGGAATTTAATTATTTAGGAAAGCAACTAGTAGTATTAAAAAGATTAAACAATTCAAGTAATCCAGGAAAAGCCTTTTTTGATGAGGTTGGTAGTTATCATTTAAAACAAAATAAACAATACTGTATTATATAATAAATATTAATCAGTTTTTATATTTAATTACAAGCAATGAATTATTGTAAATTTAAAACAGCATTTATTGTTAAGTGCTATGGTATAACTAGATTCCCAGATAATGGAAATTATGCAATTGTTTTAGCTTATTTACCAGAGGGAAATTTAAGGGACTATTTACAAAAAAATCACTTAAATTTAACACTAAAAGACAGAATTACAATCTTTGATTATTTATGAGATGCATTAGGTTATATACATGAAAAGGTTTAATCCATTGTGATTTACATACTGATTGCAAGGAGGTAATTATTTTATTATGGATTTAGGATTATGTGGACCAGTTGATGAAAAGTCATCAGATAAAGTCTATGGAATTGTATCATATGTTGCACCTGAACTACTTAGAGGCAAAAAGAATCTGATATTTATAGTGTTGGGATTATACATGCAGCCCAAATTGGTTTGGTGATTTTGATGGTCAAAATTATTTCAATTTTGATGGTAGAAAGTAGAAATTAATTACGGCATTCACTATTAAAAACATAAGTGTAACACCCCTTTACTAAATGTGTAACCCCTTTATGACAGTGTCAGAATACTTTGGGCTGCATGTATAGTTGGGATGTTAATGTGGGAAATATTTGCAGGTCATCCACCATTTGATGATAGAGCTCACAATTATTGTTTGATTTTTGATATATGTGCAGAAGGTTTATGACCACCAATATTACCTGGAATGCCTGAAGACTATGCACAAATGATGCAAAGGTGTTGGGATGTGGATCCATCAAAAAGACCAACTAGTAGAGAGCTTTATGATTTTGCTGATAATAAAAATAGCAAAATTATTAATGATGATGATAGCAGGAATACTACTAATGGCAGTGGTAGTGGTAGTGCTTTTCTACAAGCACACAAATCACATCCAGATGCATATCATAAAAGTAGAATATTAGATGAAGAGATTGCTAAATCTAAAAGCTTAAAAATTTATACAAGTAATAGTTCGTTAAATGATCTTGATTGTGACTCTTCTCTCTAAATGTTAACAAAGGTGAATAAAAATTTTATTATTAATTAATTGGAGATTACTAACAATATTTTTTAATTAATTCTAGTAATTATAGTAAATTTAAATTTAATCTCCACTATTATAATTATTTATCTTTTTATTTTATCCTTATTTTATTTTTTATCTTGTAACAATATTTTAATAAACTCCTTACAGTTTTCTGATTCTTGATAAATGATGATATTGCAAGGTATCATTTCAGTTAATTAATAATTATGACCCAACTTTTGGGCTACTCTTAAATTGCTTTGCAAATAAACCAAAGCAAGTTTGCAATTGGCAACAACTGAAATAAGTTGATCACAAGTGAATAAAAAGAAATTTATAGCTTTGTAAAAGGCCATATTTATTTATTTATTTACAGTTATTAAGTGTGCTTACAGATTTGTATAGGTCCAAGAAAGAGACAGTAATCGAGAACTAGTATAAATTTATAAACTAATTGCTATTAACTAACTTGTTTAACAGCCTTATGCTTACGACTACAATAATACTACTAGTATTTTCCAATTAACCTTGGACAATACTTCGTTAGCACACACATGTTAGACCTAACCTCTCTTGCTCACTAAAGCAAATAAATGTGGCTTTTTACCAAAGCTCCACAATTGTTACCTTTTATCAAGACATTAACTACATTTGTTGCTTTTATCAAGGATAGTGTTCCATGTCGCAATCCAAAAAAGGAAACAAAATGGTCATAAAGATGATTTCAATCATTTTTATATGACGCAAAGATGGTAGCAACCATCATCAAAAGTTGCAGCCAGTATTCTTAATCAAGGCACTTTAAACAAAGGAAATAAAGACAATGTTTTTATTTAAAAATTAATTTTATTTAATAAATAATGATTCTATCAGAGTTTTGTTTCATTAGAATGTTAATTATCCCCTGCGAGGACCAGAAATTATCATTAATGAAATTTTCATTGATCAATCCAATAAGGATAAAGATAAGGATAACTTAATCAATAAATATTGATATTATAAAACTTCCATAATTATTTACAGTGATTTGATGATAATTAATACACTACTAAAATTAGTTAATACCCAATCATGTATTCAGCAAAAACAAAGGAGAGATTCGGATACACAAGAAAACTATACAAGTTTTTTTTGTAAGCTTTTATATTTTATTAGCCTTTAAAACAATTTTACTTACATCATTTTTGACTTGATGGTAACGAATTTGATGTAATAGTTTTATGTACAACTTTGGTAACATTTCATCAAACAACATTAAATGTTAAAGTTTAGGTGTCAAATTTAATGGAACTATCCTTTCCACACATATGCAAGTGTCTTTTTGTTACTCTGTTTAGAAAATCTAAGGCAACCATGCATTTTCCTTTCAGATGGTCTTGTGGTGCAGATTTATCACAGCTTTAACAGGTTCATGCCTTGAGTCCTTGTGCATGCTTCAGTTTTCCTAACAAGATCCTAATCATAAATAGAATATTTTTTAATGTTAAAAAAAAAATATAAAAATTATACATGGTGAGTCTCAGTTTGGAAGATTTCGGTTAACAGGTTTAGGTTTTAATGGATAAATTTTCAAAACCAAATTTTTTATTACTATTACTATAATTATTTTATCTTTCTTTAACAAATTACTAATTATAACAATAACAAATATAAAAGATCTTATTTTTATTATTATTTTTCTCGCAAAAAATCCATGGTCGCCAAATCATTCTATATATATAGTAATAATGAGTATTTTTTAATTTTTTTTTTGTTTGTTATAGAGGAATTAATAATAAAAAAATGAAAATGAAAAGAAGTGCGATTTTCACATATATAGTACCTCAAGATCAACTTGTGAATAGATTTTCAAACCCATTGTTTTAATTATATCTTGTAAAACAACCAATGAAATAATGTGCTTTAGCATCCCAGTTTGAAGCAACATAGGTTGATCAATATTGGCACTTATAACGAACAATCTTTACATAGCACATAAGACAGGTTGTGGTACATATTTTTTGTAACTTTTAATTTTGTTTTCTATTTTTATCACTTTAAATTTCAAAGAATTCTTTTATTGTTGAATCACGATAAATCAATTACTAGAGTTTGGTAATGATGAAGTTGTTCTTTAAACAATGCAATTTTGGCTTTCAATTTACATCCTTATCAACTAGAGAAAAACTTAAAGACAATCAAATAAACCATAGAAAAAAAAATTATTTGTTATACATCATTCAATTCTCTGCAAAGAAAATCAAGTTTTTAAACGAAAAAATAACAGTGAATTTCGTGAAATACAGATTAGTATTATTATAGTGCAATGATATTTTTTGATGTCATAATATTATAAAGTCACATGGCTCAATCACTTACATATATATTCGTTCAGAGCATCAAAATTAGACATCCTATTATTTATTCATGATCAATGAAATAAAAATATACTATCTCATGGCCAGATGGTGCATTGATCGAGTATCTAATAAATTACAACAAAAAATATAAATAGACCCACTATCCCCCACTTGTGGACCAAAAAAACAGTGCATTGGTTTTGCTTTTTACGTTGCATTCGAATTCGAGAGTTGAGACACGTAGTGCCAAAATGACGTTCTATGTACTATTTGGCTTTACATGGTACATTCTATCTATATATTTGTTCGAGGTATCAACATTCGCGTTGAGAAAAATTTATTAAAAAAAATCACACATACAAAGGAAAATTTAATAATTTAACAAAAGATCCTTTACAAAGAAGAACCCTCATGTGAATCAAAGTTATTTATGAACTTCAATTGTTAAAAAAAAAAAATCTTTTGTCTTGATCTTCTTTTCCTCGTGTTTATTTGTTAAACTGAATAAAACAACATCAGGTTATCGTGTATACACGGTTATCAAAGCATTGTCTTAACGAGCTCTGACTGTACGTTTTATTCGTTTAATTCGTTTATTCGTTTAATTCGTTTTATTCGTTTTGTTCGTTTTATTCGTTTTATTCGTTTATTTGTTTATTCGTTTTATTCGCTTTTATTCGAATTATTACTATTCATTTTATTCGAGACATTTTTTACTCAAATTGTTTGTTTATTCAAGTAAACCTTATTTGAATAGAAAGCTAACAACTGCTCAAGATTATGATATTATTTTAACACAAAAAGCTTAACCAATAATTTAATTACAATATAAAAAAGTTATTGGTTTATTAAACTAGGCCAATAATTAACTAAAAAAAAAATTAATTTTAAAAGGATATCTAATAAATATTGGCACTTTCAACATTTACTAGTAGGCTTTTAGACTATATGATAAAATACTAAGAATATTATTAACTTATCAGTATGCTAATACCAAAATTATTTTTTTAAAGAATAATCAGATTACGATATTTGCTGAATACCTCATTATCCAATTTGGCATCATTTAACCAGTAAAAAAAGAGAACCAATAGATTATATATAAGCAAAAAAATATGGGACCCTAAATTAGCACAAAAGAATTTTAAATCATGCACAAACATAACAGCTTAATAGTTTGATTGACACAGTGGTGCAATCTTGCAATTTTTTTATTGTATATTTTAAATATAAT